AGGCTGAATATTGCCAAGAAATTTTAATCTTAACTCATCTAGTTCTCTCCAGGGACACAGACTGCTTTGGGAGCTGCTCAGTGTTTTTAAGATATATAAATCAAGGCTTGAATGTACTGACACGATGGGCTGGCACAAAGTTGTGAAAAGCTCTTACTGGAAGAACAATAATTTTTTTTCTCTGTCTTCCCTCTCACAATTTCTTTCCTTTGAACATGACTCCTCAGAGATCCCAGGCCAGCCGTGCTGTCATGCATACTACACCAGAGCTAAGTCCCCAGCTTCAGTAGCAAGAGCTGCTCTAGAATTAAGCTGATGTTGCTGAGGCTTAATTTTGATCACAAATCTTCAGTCTCCACTTCTGCAGTTATGCTGATTTTTGTGTATCACTTCTCACACTGAAAATCAGCTTATGGACCTGAACACAAATTTTGGCCAGTTCTGGCATGGTGGTGCCTGTGAAAGACATCCTGAGATGCTACACAGCCCCTAGTTTCAATGACACATGAACAGCTGGTTTTCTGTGGGGATGCTCTAATAGAAGCAAGAACACTTCACTGTCTCTTTCCCCACCTTGCCATGCTCCTTTATCTTTGCTTTCGACGTTTTTCACTTTCCAGAACTGATCCATTCCAGTAAAAGCAAGAAAATGCCACTGCTGGGCAAATCTACCTGAATTTATCCTAGTGGAGCCTGGATGAAACCCTCATGGAAAAGCAGCACGCCTATCTGAAAACTCTTGTTGTCTGAAAACAGATACTACCTCTATTTCGATCAGCTTAACACAGTTCTCAGAAAACTAAATGCTTCATGTCACATTATCACTAATGGTGCCTCTTAAACCCTGCACACTGCTAGCATGGTCTGCTTTCCTTATGAAGATGCCTAGATCTTGGGCCACATTACTCCATCCATGTGAGGGATTCCTACATCCAGTCCTTGGAAGTTAGCAACCCCAAAGCAAATTTAGCTAAGCCAGAGCATGTCTTTGGGTCTTTTCACATTTAGTAACTATGGATTTATTTGATAATGTAATTCATGTATTTTCATCACTTCTGTACATATTTTATTGCTTTTGATAGAAAACCTCATGTTCTATTACCAATTTGTGCAACACTGTTGGTAGTCATTTGCCTATGAAGGAATTGATTAAAACTGAGTTAAATTGATTAAAACCTCCAAGAGTTGGTCCAGAATATGGAAATTCTGAAGAACATTTTATCTCTACAGACATATGTCTTGATCTTGCTGTTAGCTGTTTTAATGCCTTAGATAGCAAACTCACTTTCTGTAAGTACATCATTAGCTATAATAACCCTCAAGATAAAAATACACTGTAATACGCTTACAAACAAAACACGCAAATAAACATAAAAAAGGACAAAAAAAAGCTAGCAAAGAAAGTGTGCGGGGGTCTACTCTAAAGGGTATCATATTCAAATTAGTTTATATTGATGGAATGTCTTCTTGCAAGGAGCATTTCAGCAAGACAAGTGTTGCTTTGGCAGATGCTGTATAATAGTTCTTTTAGCACACATTTTCAAATACCTCAGCCTACAGACTTCATCTTTTTTCAGTTGGAAACAGGATCCTTCTTTTCTATTGACCCTGGCTTCAGCAGTAACAAAAGCAAAGAGACTGAATGGGCAAGGTGCAAAGTGGAGGTTAGAGCTGGACTTGTGTCCCTCCTAGGACTGCAGGTCCATGCGTCCCACGGCACTTCGCTTCCCTGCAGCGGAAGGATGTTCTGTTCACTCTGCAGCTGCGGACTGTGAATGGTTGGTTCTTTCATTTCATATGTACTTATAGTAACTTTTCTCTACTTCAGCTCTGGATCACTTATATAGTTTCTTACTTTTGTGTGCTACGGACACGTAAGGCTATGCACAGTTGCATGTTCATCTACTCATACTGCAATTCTGAGACGAGTGACTATGCAGCACCTAGTGCAGGCCCAGTCTGACTGATAGGTACTTCTATAGTAACATAAATTATAATAAAAACCCTGTCTGAGGGAGCTCCCCAATTATTTCCTTTGACTGTATGGTAGTGAGGTACAAAGCAGAACTTCCAGAGAAGAAGGGGTCAATTTCCCCTCACTGTTAATGAAAATGGCAACAACCTACTGACCATTTTGCAGTTAAAAATGTGTTCTATCATGGCAATTTTAAATTCTTGATAAACATTTCTATGGTCTATTCAGAAATAAACTGTCTTTAGAGGTAAAACCGATGTTTTATGGGGGTAAAAAAGGAGTAGTTTGAGACATACAAAGGATTAGCCACAAGGCAAGGCATTTCTTGTCCTGCATCAAACAATAATTCTAGCACAAGAATGATTAATGCAATGCTTCACTTGCTGGGATAATGATATCCTGCCTGGTCTGGGGACAGCATGAAATGGTATTGTCTGTATTCTACTTCACACTAAGGTCAGCCAGAATATAATTATGTCAGTGATATTTCCCTGTGGACTTCCAGCCCTTTATAGGATAGATGCTAAGGTTACCCAATAGTTTACCAAGCTTTAAATAGTCTTGTGCCTTCATTGTTCAAGTTCATTAAGTATTACAGCCCTAAAGACAGTCTGCTCTCTGACTGCTGCAAATGCCAAGGATCTAGTGACAACAGAGTAGAGAAAGAACATCTTGTCATTATGGTTTTAAATTATAAAATTGACATGGAGAGTGTTTGGATCTGTTCCTGTTTGCTAATGCCATCTCACTTTTTTTTAAGAAAAAAAAAAGTGTTTTAATTGCCTGTTTTGCTTTTAATATATTTGTCACATTTCCAGTATTAATGACAATGCCTTGGGATGTGTCTCTATGAAATATGTCAAATAGCATTAATACTGTGCTAACTGCAATTCAAATTATTCTCTATCAGGGGACCTCATAGAAGGATATTGGCTTAGACATGGGAATCCATATGTTTCAGAAACTACACCAATCAAACAAGGGCTGTGAGAGTTTTGGTTTGGAAGAAAGAAGCTCATGTTATTATAATACCTCAAAATTCAGAGACATTTAGTAGCATATAGTAATAAATCAGAGTTATCTAGAGCATAGACATTTCAATCTGTGTGTACACAAAGGTTATCACTGGGCAATTTCTTTTTTTTAGAGTTAGGTTCTGATCTTAGGATACAAGACATGGTAACAATTTTACCAGCTTGAAACTGACTGAAATGGTGAGTTACTACCTGTTATTTCCACACTTGTCTCTGCTTTTATTTTCACTCCCCACCAGGCGTTCCTTCTGCATGTCTGGTGCTGGCTTTGGCATGCTTCAGTCCTCTCTGTGAGGCAGTCTAATTTATTACAAGGTCAGAAAATAAAACCAGAAAAAATCTGAGTGCTTGTGTGATGTTTACATGAGTTAGTCTCCCAGGAAGGTCTAGTGGGCAACAGACCCAGGGAGAGGGTAAAAATATACAGTCATGGAGGAGAGAGAGTGGAGGAAAGAGGTGAGATATACGACAGGAGGGAGGGCAGTGAGGGACCCTTCTGCTTGCACATGCAGACAGCCACTGCATTTGTTCAAGTGCCAATGAACCATCACCTTGCAGAAACTCTCCTGGTGGCTGCTCATCCCAGACTAGCATGCATAGACCACCCCACTGCTCAGGGATGGTGGCATCCAAATTCAGCATCCTATCTACCGATCAGTTGCTCAGACAGGCCTGATTTAGATATTCACTGAAGCTGGATATTTGTTTTTTATTTCCACCACTACTGACACTTTTCTCCCCGAGATATGCCACTTCCAAGGTGAAAAAAACTGCTAAGGTTCAGACCATCTGTCTTTGGACATGGCTGCAAACAAAATATTGATGGTAGGTATGACTGAAATTTTCAGGGTTTGGAGGAGGCTTAGGTTTACCCTAAGTCCTTCTCAACCTGAAATCATGCCTACAGAGCTCACAGGGGTCAGGGCTTCTGCCAGCTGTATGCAGAAGCAGAGGTACTGTGTCCACAATATAACGACACACTCTCATGTGTGCCCAGCAACAGAGAGGCTCACACATACATAAACAGGCGAATTTCATGAACTAGAGAGGTGGCCTCATAGTTTTAGCATTTTAAATAAGGTAACACAGAAAGAGTCACATGAAAAGGTCTAAAGTGAAAGTATTATTGTGCAATATTTGTGTTGATAGTGACACAAAACCACATAGTACATAAGCAGGTGCATCAGAGGTTAAATCACATGGAAGGTGGCAGAGCCTGGTCCAAGCAACTGAACCTCAGAATCAGACAAGGTCAATTTTTCACAAGTATACAATGGTTTCAGTTTTTGATGATTTTTTTTTCTTGTATTCTTCCACATTGTTTAACTAAGTTTCATAGATTCATAAGCAGTTTTATATGACTGCCTGAAGCAGCAGTATCTTGATGACCCAGATCTTTTTAGCCTGTCTCGGTGCCTTACAAAATATTGTCTCTTTCTGCCTGTTCTTTGTAGAAAAATAAAATGTCAAACACCAGCTATCAGCAACCTTGCCCATGCTTTTATATCTCTGGCTATATCTGAATTAGTGGTATATGTGTGTTATATATTTTAGAATTATTATTGTAACCAGTTAGAAAGCTAAAAAACCTGCAAGCAGGAAACTTTGAACAAAAATCTTTTATCAAAGTCCATCAGTCTCCCTTTGAAAATTTCCAACTATCTTGAAATTAAAATCTAAAACTGTTTTCCAATAAGCAGAAGAAAGATTGCTCTCCTATAAAGGAGACTTAGGGAAGACAATGAAGGCAGGACTTCAAAGAAACAGATCTTATTAGGATGTCTTTTTGAACTACAACATTTTTAGGATCATCTGAAACTCATTAAAATTTTGTCAGCTTACTTGAGAAGTCAGTAATTAACCCTAACTGCCACTGTGAAACTTTATGGAATGAGCTTTTGCAGATATCTTCCAGCTGGAACCAATGTTCAACAAATAAAGTTAAGTTTTTG